TTACGTGCATCTCCAGCAATTCCATTTCTTGTTTACCACCCAAGAATTACACTTACAGTTTATTCAGGAGATATGTTCAACATGCTTTTAAAAAGATATTTAGAGGCTGGGTACACCTGTAATTCTAGCACTTTGGGGGCTGAGGTGGGCAGATCACCTGAGGTCAGGAGTTCGAGGCTAACCTGGCCAATACAATGAAACCTCATCTCTATTAAAAGTACAAAAAATTAGCCAGGCATGGTGGCACACATTCATAATACCACTATGCAGAAGGCTGGGGCAGGAGAATTGTTTGAACTCAGGAGGCAGAAGTTGGAGTGAGCTGAGATTGCATTACTGCACTCCAGCCTGGGTGACAGAGTGAGATTCCATCTCAACAAAACAAAATAAAACAAATAAATAAATAAATAATAAAAAAGGACAAAAACATATTTAGAGCAGCAAAAGTGTTCTGTATGCTACTTTAATGGTAGATACATGACATTAGGCATTTGGCAAAACTCGGAACTTTAGAACACAGAGTGAGTGATTCACAAAATAAATGAGGGCTTTTGCAATAATATGTCAATATTGGTTCATCAGTGGTAAGAAATATGCCATGCTAATGCAAGATATTAGTAATTGGAAGGAGAAAATGTTGTATATGGGAACTCTGTACTTTCTGCTCAATTTTTCTATAAAACTAAAAAACTCTAAAAGATTATTTCATTTTATTTTTTAGACAGGGTCCTCCAATGTCCCCTGGGCTAGAGAGGAAGGGCTCAATCACAGACCACCGCAGCCTCAATTTCCCAGGCTCAAGCCTCAGTCTCCCAAGCAGCAAAGACTACAGGCATGCACCACCACGCCTGGCAAATTTTTAAATTTTTTGAAGAGATGTGGTCTCCCTATGTTGCCCAGGCTGATCTCAAACTCATGAGCTCCAGTGCTGAGATTACAGGCATGAGCCACCTCACCTGGCCAATTATTTAATTTTTAAAAATAAATAAATGAGAAGCCTTTAATGCTATTTGAGATACAGTGTTGTTAACAATGACAATACTGAAAATGGGATGATGAAGAAAAAAGAAGTGTGTGTATGTATGTGTATGTGTGGGGCCTACAGACAATGGTGGTAGTAAACATTTAGTTGTTTGTGTTTTCCTGTCTATTTTTTTTTTTTTTTGAGACAGAGTCTTGCTCTGTTGCCCAGGCTGGAGTGCAATGGCATAATCTTGGCTCACTGTAACCTCTGCCTCCTGGTTTCAAGCAATTCTCTGCCTTATCCTCCCGAGTAGCTGGAATTACAGACGCCTGCCGCCATGCCCAGCTAACATTTGTATTTTTAGTGGAAACGGGATTGCAACATCTTGGCCAGGCTGGTCTTGAACTCCTGACCTTGTGATCCACCAGCCTCAGCCTCCCAAAGTGCTGGGATTACAGGCATGAGCCACAGTGCTCAGCCTCCTCTCTTTTTAAATGTAGAACTGTCCTTTCTTCAATTAAAAACTACGCTTCTTAAGAGCTGAAAAGCTTTTGTTAATGTAGTATTCCTTTTTAGTCAGTGATATAGTTTGGATACTTATCCTCTCCAAATCTCATGTTGAAATTTGATACCCAGTCTTAAAAATGGTGCCTGGTGGGAGGTGTTTGTGTCATAGGGTGAATCCCTCATGAATCGCTTGGTACCCTCCCCGAAGTAGTGAGTGAGTTCTCACTCCAATCGTTCATGATCTTTTGCTTAAAGGATTCTGGCACCCTTCCCCACTACCTCTCTGCCTGGATTGCTTTCTCATCATGTGACGCCTCTTCCCCTTCCCCTTCCACTGTGACTGGACATTCCCTGAAGCCCTCCCCAGATGCAGATGCTGGTATCATGCTTCTTGTGCAGTCTGCAGAACAGTGAACCAAATACACTTCTTTATAAATTACCCAGCATCAGATGTCCTTTATGGCAATGCAAATGGACTAAGAAAGTCATCCTAAACAGAGAAATATTAATGCCATTAATGTTGTCATTATCCAGACAAATATTATAACTTAAGATCAATCAGAAATACATATCTGACAAGTAGTGCAATCTTTTTTCAATCAGAGCACAACATTTTAGAATAAACCAAAAGTCTGTGAGAAAAAATAAAAATGACAGTAGGATAGATTAACATAAAGATATTTTTTGTTTGTTTTTCTTAAAAAGAACTTACATGTTAAATAAGAAAAATTAAAGACAGAAAAGGACTTTTATAATTTATGAATTTTCTATGATAAATTTCTTTTTCCTATATTTCTAGAGCCACTTTCTTATCCTGGTCTCCACATTTTGCCTCTTGCACCCCACCACATGCAAACATTTATAACCCAGTCTTCTATATTCACTTAACAGTTGAGCTACAACAAGTGATGCATTTCACTGTTGTTGTGTCTCTTGTTTGTTTGTTGTATTTCATTTCTGGCATCATACCTCTCTTGCTTTCACCTCTTTCCTGCCTTCTCACTTATAAATCTTAATTAGACATAGTAACATTGCCAGCTCTCATCTGCCTCTTAGCTTCCAAGTCTTTGTGTCTATCCTTCTACAGGGCTATAAGCCAAAGCTTCCAGACAAATCGGATGGTATATTAGCGGGTTACCAAGTAATCTTTCCATGGATCCAAAGGACAGTAAGTAGAGCCCCAAGATTAAAGTGCAAAAACTGAAAAACATTCTTGGGTTTTACGTTGAGGTTTTGAGATATTGACGTTTACACAAAGAGGTCATCATCATCTGATATTTGAGAAGGACTCTGGAGTCAGACCAAAGGGCTGTTGAAAGATCCAAGCGATTGCAAATTGACTTGGCACAGGAAGATCCTCCTGAAGAGTAAAGAAAACCAGCACAGTGTCACTTACAGCAGCAAACACCATATGCTTGACTCAGCATCCATTACTGGGGAGGTGACAGAGCCAGAGAAGCACAAATCTGACAAGTAGGGCAATCCTTTGTCAATTGGAGCACAACACTTCTCTTCCTCAAATCAGCTATAAGGACGTACTCTTTGCCAAGAAGTTCCACAGAAACCTGAAAATGTATGCTTTTATTATGATGGGTTTTCATTTCAATTTTGAAATTCTGGGACAACTGCTTAAAAAAGGAAAGATATGAAGGGAAAGCACATTCAACTAAGACAGGTTTCTTGTCAAGATCTAAAATATGTCAAGACACATTTCTGTCTTTCCTGAGGATAGAAAGTAGTTGGGAGGAGAAGGAATACACAGAATTCTTGAACGAGGCTTGCTGTTCCTAGCTCCTTAGATTTTAGAGAATAATGTAAAATAAACGTACTGTTGGTTAAAATGTTTGTGAAAATGGACATTGTATTTCAGGGAATTTTAAAGATCTCATGATTAAATAAGATTAGTTTCATCACCAGAGAAGTAGTTTTTAAGGAAATTTTGAATAAATCACATGAGTAAGAAAACAGAAGTATGATTTGAGAATATAATTCAGATTATACATTTTTTGAATGAGTGCAGTAACAGAATAACATGGAAACAGCTTGAGAAAACTTTTTCTCCTTTTCATATCCTTTCATACCAAAGGATAAAAGAATAAATCAAAGTTTATAGAAGTAAAGTTAATAATAATTGGAGGTGGTTTTATAAAGATAAGGGAAGCTTAGAAAAGGTAAGATATATTTATCAAGAGAATATATGTTGTATATGACTGTAGCATTGTATCGGGTACTTTTTGATTAATTACATTTGTTAAGTTATAAACTACCTTTTCATTGGAAGACATCAAAGTTGTGTATAGGAAAATGAAAATATTCCCCTCCTCACCTTTAACCCTACCCCTCTGGTAATTACCTCTGAGGCAACAACATGGAATGTATCCTTTCACATTTTGTCTTGATAACCAATAAAAATGTTTTAAATATTCTTAGACCAAACTTGGAATTCCTTGCAAACATGAATCATGTATGATTGAACTATGTACCTCAGTAAATAAATAATAATCAAAATAAACAGATAAATTAGTGAATGTTTACCACCGTTTGATGGTTAAATGTCTTGAGTCAGAATACTGCATCTTATTCATCTCTGCATGCCAATTAGCTAGAACATCACCATGCAGTAGTATAGAGTCTATTCGTTTTTCTTGAACTGTTGAATAAATGCATGAAGATGAACTTCAATCCTAAATTGGCTAATTACAGGGGAAAGTAAAGAAGAAAAAAAACAATAAAACGAGTCAAGACATAAGAAAAAGAGATGAACAATGTATGAGAGAAATAGTGAGAAGAAAAGAAAGATAGGGAGGAAGAAAAGAGAAGCAGAGGAAGATAAAGAACAAAAGAGACCTGAAGAGAAAGCCCCATGGTTAGAAAGTGCACATGGTAGCTGGAAAGAAAAGAGGCCCCCAAAACAGAGCACGTTTTCAAAGTCTCAGCAATCTACCTGTCAAGAGCCATTCTTAACTCATCTTACGTCCTTTTCCTCCAAACCTAACTAATCATTGAAAATATATCTGATGTTTGGCCCATACTTTCCCTTTCTTAACCAGCCTTTTCACTCCATTTTCCTACCTAACCATAATCCATTATGTATATTGCCATTGAATTAATTGCCACTGCAATGCTGTTTAAATCATAACATTTGCTGCTAAAACTAGTTTTATGTATCATTCATGCTTAATAAGTTCAAACTCATTATCCCCAAGTTAAAGGCACTCTATAAAGTGCCCTATTTACCTTCTGAGTGTTTTCACGCATCTAGCCAACATAGCTGGATTGTCATGTGTCTAACATAGTGTATATGTTTCCATTTCAACTGCATCTTATCCAACACAGGCTTTTCTTGCCCCAGTCCATCCAATGCAGTGCCACCCATTATTGTGCAGCTGTTAGTGAGTGCTTCTCTTGAATGCCTAGAATGTTAATAACATAGTCTCTAAAGAACAATGACATGTAGCTAGCTATTATGAATACATTCTCTTAAAACTTCATGAGAGAGTATGTGATTGCTCCTTTCATTACTTCACAGAATATATGATGCAGCTGGGCCCGGTGGCTCACACCTGTAATCCCAGCACTTGGAAGACTGAGGTGAGTGGATCACTAGGTCAGAAGTTCAAGACCAGTCTGGCCAACATGGTGAAACTGCATCTCTACTAAACATACAAAAAAATTAGCCAGCCATGATGATGCATGCCTGTGATCCCAGTTAATCAGGAGCCTGAGACAGGAGATCCCTTGAACCCAGGAGGCAGAGGTTGTAGTGAGCCAAGATTGCACCATTGCACTCCAGACTATGCAACAGGGCGAGACTCTGTCTCCAAAAAAAAAAAAAGAATATGTGATGCATCTACACTATGCCAAGAAATAATTACTTAAAAAAAACATAGTTCCTACATTCACTGAGCCTGAAGTCTAGTGAAAATGATGAGTAAATACAATAATGCATTAGGATTACTAACAAGAGAAAAAAGGTGCCCCCAGACAGAGACCAATACATATGGCATAATGGTAATAAACCAAAACAAACTTTGCAAATGTTATGATATTTTGGGAGGAATTTCTATTTGACTGTAAACCTAATTGATTTGTACTGGGAAATACAATCAGTGACTAATTCATGTTCTATCTTATGAGGAGGTCTTGAAAGAGGTCAAAGAGACTTTTTATTTTGCCACACCATCTACTTCTTATCTCAGGAACCCAGAGTTGTTTTTCTTCTGCACAAGGAGTACTTTTTGAGGCTACTAGGGTATGTTTTCTCTTTTATCTTTGGCAATTACTTTCAGAGTTCCAGAAAACAGCAGGCAAGGAAACAGGATTGCTGATTAAATATTAGATCATTGGAGTTATAGCACTCACAGGACATGTCACGCTTTGGAAAAACACTGTGTACATTCCTCAGCATCTCAGAGCAGCAAGGTGAGATAGCCAGAAAATATTCTGTCCAACTATTTTAGTATCCACCGGCTATTCTTTGAGGAATATTTTATTACTCTGGGTATTGTAAAATTATCAATCTTGTTGATATTGGCCTTTCTGATGGATGTGGACTCTTCATTTTATTGTAATTTTAATTGACATTTTTCAGATTTCAGATTATATACAGCAAATTTTCATATAATTATTGGTCATTAGCCCCTTCTTTGAAATGCCTGTTTGAGATCCACGTCCATTTCTTTTAAAATGTTACTTATTTATTTTTTTATTTTGACAGCGTTAGGTGGTTTTTGGTAACATGGATTAATTGTATAGTGGTGAAGTCAGGGCTTTTAATGTATCATTGCGCAAATAGTGTACATTGTACCAAATAGGTCATTTTTTATCTCTTTGTCCATTTTTAATATCAGATCTTATGTCTTTTAAAATATGATTCTTAAGTGAGTTATGTTTATTTTAAACAGTGTCTTCCTTTCTGCACCTTTCCTTTCTAGTGTTTATATTGATGAACAGAAATAGATTGATGTATTACTTTTTTTCATATCAGTTTTTAAAAATTTTTGGCTAAGGCTTTTTGTGTCCTGTTTAGGAATTTCTTCCCGTTACTCCCAAGATTATATTTTTAAAGCTTTATTTTTTAATCTTTCATGTTGAGATCTGCAATCCACAAGAAGGCTAAAAAACAAATCAGTGAGGTATATGTCCACCTCAAGAAAATAGGAAAATCATAAAGAGCAAACTCAAATAAAGTATAAAGGCTATAATACAATAAGAACAGAAATTAATTATATAGAACATTGAAATACAGTAGAGAACATAAATAAAAATAAAATTTGATTATTTGAAGACAATAAAATAGAAAATATAAGAGAGCAAATATCAAGAATAAAAATAAGAGTATCACCATAGGTGCTGAGACATTAAAATGATTATAAAATGATATTATAAGCATGTCTATGTTCATAAATGTGAATTGACACAAGATGAAATAGATCATTAGCAAAGTCCTATAACTACTAAATTAAACAGGTAATTAAAAACCTTTTCTGGTCTTCTTATGCTCATTGAAACACCCTCACCACCTAACGTAGACCTCCAATTATTCTAAATGCCCAATAAACATTTTATAAGTGACTAGCTGGCTTTTCCGATCAATTGCATTGACAACTGGAGTTACAGAACTCATGGTGCATGTTGCTCTTTGCAAAAACACCATGTACATGACTCAGAATCGACAGTTATTGGCAGTGTAAGCAATATTGCAGAGGGAGATAGGACAATAAAGAATGAAACATTCAAAAATGCCTGTATTATTTGATGAAGCAATTCCTTATACAGGAATTTACCCCAAAGAGGTTGCCAGAAACGTACAAAATATGTGTCCCTTTAAAAATATCATTATAAAATATAAGCGAGGTAAGTGTCCAAAAATAGGATGCAATGTATTTTTTACAATATTGATCAGAAAATATTAAATTTGTGTCTCATTCAAACAAATCTTTAAAAAGTCAAAGTTCAGCTTGCCACTAGCTCCATTTGTCTGGATGCATCTGTATAATTGACCAAGATGTCTCTCAGACTTAAGGGTGGATTTTCCAATGACATAGTGTATCATCAACCACCCAGCCACACCTTAACTATATAAATATAACAAATAATAACTTACCTTTTTCTTATACAAAAATAAAATTTTATTTACTTTCTTCTTTAAAAAGTAGGTCTGACTCTGCTCCCAATAAAAGATATATACATATGACATTGAATTAAATTTTAAAAATTATAAATAGAATTGAATATTTTGAAAGTGATGCCATTGCAGCTGGCAACTTTAACAGTCTGAGATAAGCCCCTGGATCTCTCCCTATTGGGCATCTGATTTTTGTTACTTCCCTTAGCTCTCTACCTCCTTACTTTCAGTTCCTCATGTTTGGAGTGTGTTGTGTGACCTCAAAAAAATTATGTGATAAGATTATGTCATATAAGTATGTATATGATACTTATATGATAGTAGACATATGTATATTATTGATTTATGTGCATATGATTTAATCATATACATATAGGTATGGGGTAGATGCATTAAATACATTGAGGCATTAAAAATCATCTTGTAGAATGCTTTGACATTAGAAAATACAAAATATTGTTTAATGAACAAAGACATTTACAAAACAGCAAACACAGCATATTCTCAACTTTGTAATTTTGCCTAGAATTAGAGTAACTATATTTATAGGCAGAATATATGGCAGTACATACTGTGAGTGGTCAGCACAAAATACCTACTCCTCTAGCCTGCCTAAAATTTGTATTTTTCAGATCAATATAGTTTTTCAGAACACATTAGCACTAAAAAGGTTTTTTCTTTCCATTTCCTACAGCAAACAGAGGTTTTGAAATGAACATGACACATTTTTCAGAAATGGGGAGATGATGAGGACAGATATTTGCCTAAGTCCTGCCCCTTTGAACATGATCTGCCTCACATTCTGAGTTGCTGTAAGTACAAAGCAGGTACTGAGTAATGAAAACGTGTGTAACAAAAGCAAGGAAGAAGAGGCTAATTCCTAATCTGGGACAGGACAGATCCAGGATGAGACACTGAGGCTAAAATCGACTCATGAAAATTGTGCGTAGGATTGTCTTAAGTCAGAGCCAGCCACCTTGCCTTCATCTATGCACCTCTGTTTCACAGGTAATTCATGTTAAAAGGTATCAGTTCACCCAGGTTCTGGAAAGGACGTATCTCCAGCTTGTTTAGGTTTCTGCTAATTCCTCATTGTATTTGTTACCACAACGTCAAAGTACATACCTTATATGAGGAATAACTAAAGGGTTTTCAACTTAGTAGTGCTGAGCAAGAAATAAGAGATTGTTGTAGAGCAAGGTAATGAAAAAGATTGAGCTACAGAAACTTAAAAATAAAGTATAACTAGGTATAAAGATTGTACTGATGTTAGGGGCCATAAATTCTGAGAGATGCACATGATAAGAGATTAAAGGGTTACAAAGCACTTACTTCTATCATAACACATATATTTTAGTCTAATTGCCTATTTATTTATGTGTCTCTTCAGTAGTCTATGAATTTCTCAAATGCAGGGTCTATATCATCTTCATCTGTGTACCCCCGCCCCAGAACACACACACTTAGTAAAGTGTTTGGCATAGAGAAATTTAATAAATGTAAGTTGAGAATGCAATTTTATGAATGAGAGCTAATGAGAGAGAAAGAAATAACAATATGCCGTCCAAAAGAAGTAAAAGCAATCAAGTTATCTTTTATACAAATAATAGAGACTTATAAGTTTCAGGGATAAGGAGTTCAAGCCCATGGGTAGAAATGGTATTCCCACCTCTGGTGAAAAATGAACTTAAAAGCATACTTCATCCATGTTTTAATCAAGGTATTATTGAGATCTATAAGAAGCAGCAATTTTCATCATTGAAAATGAATAAGAAATAAGATATTTCTGCTGCAAGAGCAATTTGGATTAATGTTACTGAGAAATAAAAGAATGAACAATTGTAATAGTCAAATGCTGCCCAGGTTTTAAGAATACCAAAGTAGATTCACATTTTCATGTGCCTGAGGTGATTAGGTGAAATCCTGCATTAATACAGAGAAAAATATATGAGGTAGGCTGTTACATTCATTCAAATTTTAAACCGTGATATCCTATAATTGCAACATAAATTCCTCATTTTAAAGATAGTTGTATAATACATGCTACAAAACAGAAAATTAACAATTGGAAAAAAATGAAGTCCAGAGATTCCATATTAAAATATATGGAGTCATATTTGCTTACCTTATATTGTAAGGACATGGTATTAAAATAGTTCTATTCGCAGGGTGCAGTGGCATGTGCCCATTAGTCCCAGCTACTTGGGAGGCTGAGGTGGGAGGATCACTTGAGCCCAGGAGTTCTGGGCTGTTGTGTGCCATGCCAATCGGGTGTCCAAACTAAGATCAGCATCAATATGGTGACCTCCCGGGAGCGGAGAACTACCAGGTTGCCTAAGGAGGGGTGAATCAGCCCAGGTAGGAAATGGAGCAGGTCAATAGTGGGATTACGCCTGTGAATAGCCACTGCACTCCAACCTGGGCAATATAGCAAGACCCCGTCTCTTAAAAAGTAAATAAAATAAAATAAAATAGTTCTATTCATAGTTCTAATAATAGCTCTATTTTGGGTATTTGAAACAATATTTGGGAGGAAAACATTTTTGAAAAGTTAAATACACACACATGAGATCATTAATATCTCTCATAAATCTATTATGTAGAAATACTAAAAATATATTTTATAGAAGTAATTCTTTAGAAGTAATTCAATAGATATTATATTCATCTTCATTTACTCATTAAACACTTTGAATAATATGTCTTTCTCTGTGCCTAACTCTGTCCCATCAGTTTCAGGGTTACACTGATCACAATATCATATCTAAAATGCATAATGCCATTTTCATCTTCCACATATAATTCTCAGATTATTAAGCTCCTTCTCATCAATCCCAGACGTGCCCTCAGCATCCTTCTCATCACAGGACTTTAGGCAGTCACTAGTTACTTTTGGTGAAAAGTAGCATGTAGAATGCATCTAATTTGCCATTTCTCATATGTGACATCAAAGAATTGACAGTCTAGTTGAAGGTAGTACACAGCTCATGAATGTTTGTGTGTTCTGATAAGGCAGGATTTTGATAATTAGTGTGTACTATATGAGTTTCAGTGGAGGAAGAGGTCACTGCAGGCTGGAGCAAGAACAGAGGTGAGTTCAGGTAATTGGTCTGCCACTTGGCAGTGTTGAAATGTGGCTTTGAGTTTAAAGGGGGAAAATGATCAAACAGAACAAAACAGTAGGAACCAAAATGTAGGTAGAGGATGAACGGGCAATATATGCATCATTATGCAAAGTAATATTTCTTTTTTAAAATGTGCACTAATGTAATTACTTAAATCTCCAAGGAAACATCAAATTCTAGCTTACTTTACTGGGTTTGTTGAATAAATATACCGTCTCCTATCCATGTGTTCAATGAATTTTAAACTTCTGACATGTTCCTCTTCAGCTTGTGTCTTTCTAGCTAGAGTTTAATTTTTCCAGTCTATCGCCTCTTATCCCCTTGAGCATTTTATTTGTCATTCTCTGTACAAGTTGCAAGCACAGGGACACTTTCTTGAAAGGAATAAAGGGCTATGGTGACAATAACTTCTCATGTGCAGACTCATGTGAGTTTATAAAGTGGCGGTGCAAACAGTCACTGTCCCAGGAAATCATCTTGCCTGGGTTATTCCTGGAGTTTCTCTTTCCCAAATCATCTATCATTAATCTTCTTTTATTCAAAAGAATTATCAGATACCAACCACTCTCCAAGTTCTGTCTAAAATATTGGAGTTAAAGGATTAATGAGAAACGATCCTTGCCCTCAAAGAGCAAACATCCAATGAATTCAACATATGAATAAAAAGATATTCATTTAAAAAATTGAGCAAAATGCAATGATGCCTATGTTCACCGAGTGTCTGGAAAGCAATAAGAAGTGATCTACACCTTAGCCTGAGGAAGGGATAAATCAAGGAAGAATTCTTGGAGGCCAAAGTGCCCAGTTTGTATCCTGAAGACTAAAGTGATATTGGCCAAAGAGAAAGGCTTCTGGAATACAGCTGTTATCCCATAAGCAAATGACATAAGCCATTTGCTATTATTGTGTTTCTGACCACAATACACAACTAAGTTTGGTTTCTAATCAACAGTCACCTGTGTTACAAAACTGCAATACCATATCCTCAGTTCATAGTTGCATGTTTCTGATTCAGCATAGAGAGTATAACATTGGCCTAGTTTATGATGGCTCACAGGTGATACAGAAGGAACCCACTACACAGTGATGAGAAAATAAACAGATTTCCTCTAGATTAGTCCTAAAAGTGTTGTCCCTAGATGTACAGCATTAGCTTCACCTGAGACCATGTTAGAAATGCACATTCTCAAGCCTCACCTGGAACCTACTGAATCAGAAACTCTGTGGGTATCGTCCAGCAATGTGTGCATTAGCCAGCACTTCAAGTATTTCTGGTATACTAAACATTTGAAAACTTTTCAAACTTCCCTAGATAAGAGCTGAATCACACCATAACAATGAGCATTGGTTTTTCCTAAAGAACGTTTGAATGTTCTTAACAGAAAGGGAGAACAATGAATGATGGCCAGCTGTTCAGTGTTATTCATGAATAATATTTGGAAAAATGTATAAGAAGAGAGTAATAGGCCCAAATGTGGTGGCATATGCCTTTAATTCCCATGCTTTGGGAGGCCAAAGGCAGAATCACTTGAGACCAGGAGTTTGAGACCAGCCTGGGCAACGTATCAAGGGCCTCATTTTAAAAGAGAAATATTTTAAAAGTTGCCAACTATGGTGGCACATGCCTGTAGTCCTAGAAACTTAGGAGACTGAGGTAGGAGGATAGGACAAGCACAAGAATTCAAGGTTACAGTAAGATATAATGGCACCACTACACTCCAGCCTGGGCAACAGAACGAGACCCAATCTGTCTTAAAAAAAAAAAAATAGGAAGATAGTAATCATATTTAGAAACTCTATTTCTTTAGTCACTTTTGTTAATGAAAGAGTTAAAGGAATTTAGACCATGTCTTTCAAAAACTACATGGCCCTCCTTTTAAATCAAAGACTTCAGTTCGGGTCTTTCTATTGTACTCCATTTGTACTTCCACATTAGAATTTCTCCATGCCAAAGAATTATGAAAATCTATATTTTGCCATTGTACCACTTTAATATTCATTTTAATGACATAATATAAAAATTCCACTTTACTAAGAACACGCCTAGCATAAATACCCTATAATAGGACATTTTAATTTCAGTAGCAAAGAAACTGTTCTCCTGCTTCGCTCTAACATGATGGATAAAAGCATCCAAAGTCAGTTTTTAGTACAACCTTTGGTCTACATTAGCAAAAATAAATATTAACATAAGAAATATATGATGGAAAATCTTTAGCACTATATGAACAATTAATTCAAAGTGGTGTATTGATCATTAAGCCCCCTAAAATAAAATGTATTAAGCAATTCTAAATGTTTCTCTAGCAAAAGCCTCCAGTGTTTCACACATTTTTAGATAACTTAAGTAGAAAGAACTTACTAAACATTGAAGCAAATCTTTATGGTTTGGATGGGAAATTAGTGGGCCTCACTAGTCAGACAGAATTTCATAGTTAGGAATATATTCTTATAATAGTGTTGAGGTCATCTTCTTTTAATATAGGTAAATATTATGCTTCTTGCATTTTGATTTCCTGCTAAAAAACAGTAAATATACCCTCCCAACTTCATGTTCACTTGAATGGAATAGCTGATTTAGAGGGAACCTAAAACACTGAGAGGAAATCCATCAATTTGGATACAGAACCAGGAAAGGGGGTCCATGCTGTGGAGAGAACATGTGGGAAACATGCATTCCTTTTCTC